GAAATCTTGGTGCAAGCTTCTCTGTCAAATGATGTATGTGATGCCCTGCTTTTAGCAGCTGCATGACACTATATGGGCTTATATGATGACTAAAATGACCTGAGAAGCTGCTTTCTCAGATCATTCATAAGTGACACAATTGTAAACAAAGGGAAGGAGGCCGCAACTGGTTGACAAGTGGGGGGATAAGAGCTTGTGTGTGGTACAATAACATAATAGGGGAGGCAGCAGCAAAACTTGTAAAGAGTATTACATAGTTTATCAACAGTTCCACTGTAGATGTGTAACAGTTGCAACAAACACTGTAGCACTTTGATTTTAGCTATTTATCAAAAGATATGTTATGCTATATGCCCAGCAAAAGGCACAATAACTATAAAAAGGCGCATTACATTCCAGAAAAAATGCGGATTAAAAAGGTAAATGAAAACGAACTGGATCAACAATTCCGCGAGATCAGAGCGGCGTACGCGAGCAACGAGCACGGCAAAACGCAGAATATATGCTTCAGCATGTTTACAAAAATGAAAGACTTTTTGATCCCCCTCAGCAATGTAGGATGTCGTGTAATGTCTCGCGGCAACGTCGAACGAAAGTCCCAGTTCGAAGTTTGAGTTTCGTTTTGCAAAAATTCAAGGTAGGCTCCTGGTGTCCTCTGGTTCCCTCTACCTCAGTCTAGATGGGACCTTTGCTGCCTTCTGTTAGTCATTGGGCTTCAAGAATGTGTTGCTGCTTCAGTTATTTGTGCCACTTGCTGGATATGTGCGTAATTCTGGGTGTCGTTTTCTTGTTGAGTATTTCAGCACTCAAGATCTTGGTTCTCACTAAATTTCTGGGCATGTGGCCCATGCTGTATCTTGGTTGTCATTGGATTTTTCAGCATGGTTGCGGACTGGGCTGGGAAGTCAAGTCATTGCTCTAAATTAAATCATCCTTTCTTGTCATTTGATTTAGGCACATTGCAAACAGGACTTCCTGGGTTACCTTTAGCTGTCTACTTCACCTTGTTTGAAGAAAAGAACAATGTCTGCCCTTTTGCAGCAAGTGAAACCATGGTTTGAGCAAGCAGTCTAGAAAATAGAATGCTGCATTTGAGTGGTAGCTCTGTTTCAGCCACTGTTGACATTTTGGAATCAAGTTCTCCACGACCCTCTGGTGTAGGCAAGTAAGCCACCATTTCTGTGTAGGCATGTAAGAACAAGGTTACTTTTCATGGGATCTTTCTGTAAGTGATTTTTAGAGGGCAAAGGGTTAAGGGATGTTGAATGTCATTAAGGGATGTTGAATGTCTTATATAACTGATGATGACCAATTTTATTTATTTGTGGAAATGTTTTCTGCCATGTATTTATCATAACAGATAGTATTATCTTGTTCTATCAGCCTCCAACCATTTTGAAATGTTACCAAGCATGTAAAGGCTGAAAATGGTTTGCTATCACCTTTTTGATACATACCTAAATTGATCTACCGACGAACCTGTGCCACATTTTATTATGCTGGGCTACCATGAGTTTTGCTGTGCTTATGCTTTCCAGGCACACACCTTCCTAAATTCAGGAAAGCAAGCATTGAATGTTACAACATTTTACAACCAGTGAAACCCAGGAACTCTACCTCGAATCTAGCTGCCTCAGGAGCACTCCTTATCCTGTTGGTTTGCCTGGTTGTGGCTCAGAGCCTTGGAGATATTATCCTTTGGTGTTGTGTGCCATCTGAACATTATATTTTTATATGTTACTTGCTCTATCCTAAACTGTCAGCAAGGCCATCAGTGTATTCATTGGGAGGGGGTGGGGGCTGGGAGGACATATTCATACCAGATTTAGCCAGCGAGCTTATGCATTTTCAGATCTGGTTGCATCTTCTCTCCTAATTGCAAGTTGAGTCAAATCTGAATAGCTGAAAAGACAGGTTTCAAAAATAACTCATCTCATTGGCTGTTGTAACTGTGTTAACAAACAATGAATAAAACTAAATGCTTAGAACAATTTCCACTCAGATGTCGGGATGAATCACTTTTCAACCTGTTATCCCATTTCCTGAAGTTTTGGCACTTAAACAGCCACACAGCACCACCTTTAGAGTTGGTTATCTGTGTGTATGGAATTGAAATGTGTTGAAAATTCAAGTATGCAAATGGTAAAATCTTGTTTACCAAAATAAAGCTGTGGAAACCAGGTTCGGAATTGTGTGGCCAATGTTGGATAATCAAACACAATTTGTGTGTGGAAAGAAGTAGGTTAAATGTGCTTCTCTGCAGCCATGCGTCTCCTTGAAATTAACTGGAGGAAAGACATAGGTGCACGTTGGTGCTCTGTCAGACTGGGTTGCTTGCGCTTTTTGTTGCTGCATCAGTGCTAGTTCAAGGTTGTATTGGGATGGTTTGATTCATTTTTGTTCATTAAAAGTACATCTCAATCTGGAATCCAAATCCAAACCAGGGATCCCCTACTCTGGGATATATATGACAAATGATGTGAATCCTCAGCTCTAACAAAGTTGACTAGTCCACATTGGTGAATTCTTCTTTAGGCACAATCTTAACACCTTTTGGATTTCGAAAACCTGCAGCAAAAAGCGATAAGTATTTCGAATGCATGTTTCTCGGTCACACAAACACAACCTGTTCTTCCCATGCAACGTAACACTTAAGTTCATTAGGTGTAGACAGACGTGGTGGTTTGACGCCGTCCGCCTGTCGCCAGGTTGTGCTGCCATGGCCGGCCGGCGCGCGCACGGGCCCGAGTAGCGCCGCCGCCGCCGCCGTCACCACCCAGCCAACATGAGTGACCACCTGAGCGACGGGCCGCCCAGCAAGCGGCCCAAGTTCGGCCAGGTGTATGGCTCCGGCCTGGCCGACCCGGGCGCCAGCGGTGAGTGGCGGTCGCGCCGCTGCAGGCAGCGCTGGGGGGCACGGGAAGCCGATGTGCAAACTGGATGCGGGATGTGCGATGCGCAATGCCAGCCTGACCTCCAGAAATTTTACTTTGCCCCTTCATTGTGTTCATGTGTTGAGTATTTGGTTGTTTGTGAGACGGATCTTTGGTACGCATGGTATGGGTTTGTGGTTTGGGGTTCCAAATGACTGTCGACACACTTGATGCAGCTAATGAGTAATGAAATGTCCTTTTTCCTTGTATATTTTCCCCATGGGCACTTATGTCTGTACGGTAGGAGAACCGAGGGACGGAAGAGAGATACTCCATGAAGACACCCACAAAAAACGCGTTTTGGGATTCCTGAGACTTATCCGCTTTTGCTCCAGCGCACAGCCCCTGATTTGACTCTGGGCTGGTGGGGCTCGGCTGGCGAGACGTGAGCCGTCGGCCCTGCTCAACCCAACCGTGACGTAACCCCCCCCCCCCCCTCGCCGGTAGGCATGGGGCTGTCGTCATTTGACCTGGAGTCGTCGCTGCCCGACGAGCTGATTGGCGGCCTGGACACGGCCGCCGCTAAGATGTCGGCCCAGTACGGCTCGCCCGGCCTGGCCAACGGCGCCGTCGACTCGGCGCAGATGCACATGCTGGTCAGCAAGCAGATGGCGATGACGCCCGCTGGCGGCGCCGGCAAGAACTCGCACGGCGCCCTGCAGCCGGCGCCCAACGCCGTCGTCTCCAAGGGCCTGGGCCCGATGCCGCACGCGCTCGACGGCTCCGCCATGACGCTGACGAGCATGCACAGCCGGCTGCCCAACTCGCCGAGCATGGCGTTCTCCAACGCCAGCACGCTGCACGCCGCCAACGTGTCGATGCACGCCAGCGTTGCCATCTCGTCCATGGGCAACGTGCTGTCGAGCGCGCTGTCGGGCCCGCTGGGCGGCCTGAACAGCGCGCCGGCCGGCGGCGCCGTGCGCGCCGGTCTCTGGCCGGGCCGGCCGGTGGCGCAGCAGCTGGTGAACGGGCCCGGCGGCGTGGCGCAGCCGCCCGGCGCGCTGACCCGCACCGTGCCGGCCGCCGGCGGACTGCGCAACCAGGCGCCGCAGCTGCAGCAGCAGCAGCAGCAGCTATTGCAGCAGCGCCAGATGATCCCGCAGACTAGCGGACACATGCAGGTCAGTCAGGGGAACCGCTGCACTTCGCCCGGGCATTGGGAACGCACTTACCGTACTCACGTCAAGACGTAAGCGCTTTATTGTTTTTAGTGGAAGTCCGAGAACTCGCGCATTTTAGTGCTTTAGCTGTTGCAGCCAAGTACTGATGCCAGTAAGTATGCCGAATGACGCGAAAATGAGCTGTGCCTGCCATCGTGACATCTGACTCTAAAGTGTCTGGGGCGCAAAGGGGCCGCTGCGGTCGGACACTCTAAAACGTCAATAAACAACAAAATGACTGCAAAGTGCAGTCACGTGTCACAGCCGCCGAAGTGCAGCTCTGCCAAGGCCCAGACTATTACGAGAGGCGGCAGACGGCTGGCTGTTTTCACTCGTTCCATTTTTGCAGTGTGATAAGTTGAGTGGCCTATCTGTGTGCAGCTGCAGGCCGTCTGCCTGCCTGACAGATGATCGTTGAAAGGCGTTACCTTGCGTAAACTGTAATTTCCTTCGTAAGGCTGATCGGAACAAAGAAAGGCCAATGGGAGAGCGCTCAGAATGACATTTGTGTAACGGCCCACGCATTGTATAACGCACGAGTTTCTTCCGCCTGAGAACCTTGCAGGAGCGCTGTCGGAACTTGTGCGAGCTTGAACGGAGCTCATGTGAACTGAGCGCGTGTGACCGCCGTCGCCAGGCTGGCCTGAACCCGATGGGCGGGCAGCTGCAGCCGCCACAGCCGCAACCGCAGCCACAACCACAGCCGCAGCCGCAGCCACAGCAGCAACAGAGCTTCAACTTCCCGGGCCAGCAGCGCCTGATGGCGCCGGCGGCCTCCGTCAACAACGGCTCGCCGGCCGGCCTGTTCGGTGGCGGCGGCGGCGGCGCAGTGGCGGCCGTCGGCGCCGGGCCGCAGCGGTTCGCGGGCGTGGCGGCGGCGCCGCTGCCGCCGCCGCAGCAGCAGCCGGCCGTCGGCCGCGGCCCGCCATCCACCGGCGATCCGGAGAAGCACAAGCTGATCCAGCAGCAGCTGGTGCTACTGCTGCACGCGCACAAGTGTCAGCAACGCGAGCAGACGGGCGGCGACCATACGCAGGTGAGTCGCCGCCCGTGAGCACGGTGGTGTGGATCACGCGTAGCGCTGTTCTGTGTGGCACAGGTTGTCATTACCGTGGCTTTTATAGGGCTCGTCCAACGCGGGATCGAGTGAGCCCGGCCTATACTTGGGCTTTGGTTCAAAGTTATCGCTTGTGCCGTTTGCACACAAATGTATACGCTGACGCATTGAACTTCTATGCATGTGTTTTGGAGTTAAGCAAGCTCCCGTTTTTGCTAATGGAAAATTTGTAACGAGCTCCAAATTGTTGTCATGATTGATCCAGTTGTGTGTCCCATATGCGATGGTCACTCGCTGTTTTTCCATGTGTGATCGTAATTTGTCCTTCCAGTGCAAGCTGCCTCACTGCCAAACGATGAAGGACGTGCTGATCCATATGAAGGATTGTGTCTCGGGCAAGTCGTGCTCGATGCCGCACTGCGCTTCGTCGCGCCAGATCATCGCGCACTGGAAGAGCTGCCGGCGCACCGACTGTCCCGTGTGCCTGCCACTGAAGCAGGCGGAGAACCGGCGCGGCCAGCAGCCGCGGCCGCCGGGCGCGCCCGGGCCGGCTCCCGTCGCCGCGCCGCCGCAGCAGCCGTCGCCGCAGCAGCAGCCGTCGCCGCAACAGCCGGCCGCCGCCCAGTACGCCAGCTCTGCCGGTCTGACGGCGCTCACCAACTCGGTGACGGGAGCTGGCGTGGGCGGCCTCCCGCAGCCGCAGCAGGCCCAGCAGCAGCCGCAGCCGCAGCAGCCGGCCGCCGCCGTCCAGCAGATGGCCAATCGGCTGAAGCGGACACTGCACATGCCGTGCCCGCCGGCGGCCGGCTCGCCGGGCGGGCTGGCCGCCGAGCTGGGCGGCCCGGGCAGTCAGCTGTCGGCCGCCGGCAGTACCAGCGTTGAGTCCTACCTGCTCAACAGGAATGAGCTACCCAGCTGGGCGTCCGACCTCAACCAGGAGAGCGCCAACAACGTGAGTCGGCGGCGTCAACGGCTGGCCCCTGGGCTCGCCGGCGTCAGGCCAGCTCTCGATGGGGGGGGGGGGGGGGGGGGGGGGAAGGGCAGAATACAGATGTAGGTGTAGACGGGGCGAACGTCGCTGTAACTTGCGCTTTCCTGGAGATGTTTGCTGGACGGGCGCGCTGCTGTTCGCCGTGCTGGCTGCTGCAAATAGGCGTTGACGGGCAGAATTCTGACGTTTGTGGTGCCTCGTGACAATCGCCTAGCTGCGATCGATCCATGCAGCTTTTGCTCGATGCTGCGGTGAGTGATCATCATGTTGTCTCTGTCTCTCAGACGTTATGTGGCAACGCGAAGTTCCGCAAGATGCTGGACCCGGTGGTGGCAGCGCCCGTCACCGACACCAAGGAGTGGCACATGCAGGTCACCCCTGATCTCCGCACCCACCTCGTGCGAAAGCTGTGAGTGACGCCGGCCCTGCCCGCGCGCCGAGCGCGGCGCTCTTGCCGGTTCGCCGACGGTGACTCTGGCTGTGTTTTGGTGACCTTGTGGTGATCGATGGTGTCACCTGGTGATCAGACGTCATCAGGTGACCGGGTGATCGTTTTGTTAGTGCGATCTCTTCTATTGTGGCAGCGTCACTGCACCTTGCACACATCTATGCGGATTAATGCGAGCAGATGCGGTTAGTTGTTTTCGTGTGATTTGAAATTGGTGAAAAAGCGGGGTCAATGGCCCGTTTGTCCTTGTGTCACTTCCGGCGAGAAAAAAAAAATGCGGGGCAGAGCATTCCCTTTGCAGCTTGGCTCAAACGTAAAGTTATAGTTGCTCCTGATGTGAAAGAGTGCTGACGCACATCCGGACTGTGTGGCGCATGACAGTCGCATTAGCACTGCATGTGCAGAATCTCCGTAAGTGTTGCGTATGTACGCGTCCAGTGCGATCTCTAATAGCGTTCTCTTGACGTGACAGTGTTCAGGCCATCTTCCCCGCTCCGGATCCATCTGCCATTCACGACAAGCGCATGCACAACCTGGTGGCCTACGCCAAGAAGGTCGAGGGGGACATGTACGAGATGGCCAACTCCCGGTCGCAGTACTACCACCTGCTGGCCGAGAAGATCTACAAGATCCAGAAGGAGCTGGAGGAGAAGCGGCAGCGGCGCCAGGCGGCCGGCGGCGCAGTGCCGGGCGCCGTACGGCCGGCCGCGGTAGGCGCCAGCGGACCGACTGTGCGCCTCGGCGTGGCGCTGCCCGGCCTGGTGCAGCCTCAGCCCCCGCAGCCGCAGCCGCCGCAGCAGCCGCAGCAGCCGCAGCAACCACAGCAGCTGCAGCAGCCACAGGCTGGCCTGCGGCAGCCAGTCAGCCTGCTGGGCAGTCACGTCCGGCTGCCGCTGCAGCAGCCTCCCCAGCAGCAGCAGCCGCAGCAGCCGCAGCAGCAGCAGCAGGCACAGCTGACGCTGCCGGCGGCCAGCCAGGCGGGCGCGCTGGGCCTGCCGCCCTACAGCAGCCTCTCCACCACCGCCGGTCACAGCAGCAGTCTGAACACACTTGCCCAGTTCGGCCTGCAACAGCCGCCTGTCAGCTCGGCCTCTCAGCAGCAGCTGCAACAGCAACAGCAACAGCAACAGCAGCAGCAGCAGCAGCAGCAGCAGCAGCAGCAACAGCAGTTGCTACAGCAGGCCGAGCCGCGGCTCAGCTCGCCGGTGTACGCGCAGAAGCAGTTTAACAACGGCCTGCCGGAGACGTCTGTGGCCGGCCTGTCGCAGCCAGGCGGCGGCGGCGGCCTGCCCGCCGTCTCGGCCACCGGCACCGCCCGACCTGACGCATTCTCCGACCAGATGCGCTCGACGCCTCTATCGATAGCCTCGGCCGTCGCGCCGCTATACACGTCGTCATCCATCAAACTGGAACAGGTGAGCAGCCCGAGGGTCCTAGGTTCGGATGGCTGCGGGCGTCACGCGATCGCGGCTCACAGTGTCGGGTGGGCTGCAGATGTTCGCTCCGGAAGTGTTCTGGGGAGGGGCGACCGCCGTTTGTGGTTGTGGTGATGCGCCATCTGCACGGTTGTTACGACTGTGTGCCGCTGCTCCCCAGGAGAATGCGGCGTTCGACAGTCTGCTGCGGGACGCGTCTGCGCCGCCGCAGCCGGCGCAACAGCAGTCAGTGCCGCCGCCGTCCGTGCCGGGCAAGGCGGAGCCGCCGTCGGAGCCCGGCGACGTCGGCGACAGCCAGGACGGGCCGCCGCCGCCGCCGCCACCGCAGCCACCCGCCGCCGGCGTCAAGATGGAGGTGGCGGACGTCAGCCAGGAGGCCGGAGACAAACCCATGTGGCAGCGCCCGGCCATCAAGGGTGAGACGCCGTGCGCCGCCGCCGAGCTAAACCACCCTGGGCTACATGCTTGGATGTGAGGTCCGTTGATGGTCCACCCGACTATAGCCGCTGGAGTGGAGGTAGCGATTTTGGGATGATCAAGGACAAGGGCCACGGATGTTGCGACCTTTGTCCAATGGGCACAGCACGATGGATGGGTTAGATGAACCTCGTAGTCGAAGTGCAACGTGACTGGTGAGTTGGCGTGCATTGGACGCGGGTTTTTTTGTGTCGCAGCCGAGCCGGCGTCGGTGAAGGGGGAGAGTCCGCACCCGGACTCGGCCTTCACGCCCGGCGAGAGCAAGCCCTCCTCCTCCGGCGTGCCCACGCCCAAGGCTGAGAAGAAGCACAAGACACGTGAGTCGATGGGAGTCCACTGGGAACGGCTCAGGGGTGGTGGTTGTAACGGTTATCGTGCTCGTCCGGACGAAAATGCTCGCGCATTTCGCGGCACGTCGTTACGACGTTCTGTACGCCATTCTGCCAGGTCGCTAACAGCTCCAGAGGGCCGGCCTATGTGGTTTCATTTGCGTATGTCAGACGTGATGGACCACCATGTTGTATGGTCTGGCATGGCTCCGTCCGATGGCTGGCCTCTGGGGAAGCTTGCCCGGATGTGTCGGGTGGCCGCCCGGCTCGTCGCGGGCCGTGTTCCCGTCCGCCGGCGCCCGGCTCCCGGCCGTCGCGCGCCGTCTGACCGCCGCCCGCCGTTGCAGTGTTCTCGCCGGACGAGCTGCGGCACGCGCTGATGCCCACCCTGGAGAAGCTGTACCGCCAGGAGCCCGAGTCGATCCCGTTCCGCCAGCCGGTGGACGCCAGCGCGCTCGGCATCCCCGACTACTACGACATCATCCGCAACCCCATGGACTTGTCCACCATCAAGCGCAAGCTGGACACGGGCCAGTTCAGCGACCCCTGGGAGTACGTCGAGGACGTGTGGCTGATGTTCGACAACGCCTGGATCTACAACCGCAAGACGTCTAAGGTCTACAAGTTCTGCACGAAGGTGCGGAACCCTCGGCTAACTCAGCCCTGCGCTCCGCGGTCTCAGATGATGGTACATTAGCAGTTGATGTCTGCTTCCAAATGTAGGTGACATATGGCTTCGTTCAGGCCTGAGTGGTTGGTTGTTTGATCGGCGTGGGGCCGTTGATGGACTAGGCCTGCGGTCGCTGAGACTGCTGGGCCGCCTCGCCCGCGCCCCGTCTGACCACGTGTCCCGCACCCGCCGCCGCCAGCTGTCGGAGGTGTTCGAGCAGGAAATGGACCCGGTGATGCAGCAGCTGGGCTACTGCTGCGGCCGCAAGTACACCTTCCAGCCGCAGACGCTGTGCTGCTTCAGCCACTCGCTGTGCAGCATCCCGCGCGACGCTAAGTACTTCAGCTACCAGAACCGCATCACCTATTGCGTCAAGTGCTTCAACGAGATCCAGGGCGACACGGTCAGCATCGGCGAGGAGACCACGCAGCAGTCTATGTGAGTGCGGCCAGCGTTGGCTGGCGGCTGGCAGGGGGAGAGCGTCCTTTGTTGGGCCAGACATATGTGCCCGGTGCTCAAGGCTGCTCTGCGACCGTTCAAAGTATAGCAAGGCGTTGCTGACATTGTTATGGAGGTTTTTCTGTGTTTTGATGCACTAGCCTGTGATAAGCGGAATGTCATTAAAATTGCCATAAGATTCCATCGAGAGGGATACGTAAGAGTTAACATGAAATTAAGTAGCTAGTCATCACGGAATGGTTTGTGATATTGGAACAGTGATGAGAGATTGACAGTGGAAGGTAAAAACATGCATTTGAGTACAAAGGCCGATCTTGCGAAATAACGCGTATCTGGCAGTCGAAGTTGTGTGACGTTTTCTAACGCGAAACAGATACGTTGGCGCTACTATGCCCCTGTTTAGCGGCCCCTGAGGAAACGTCATTGCATGAATTTGCAAGCCAGTTAAGCAACCAAAATTTTGCGGACCGCAAAAACTTGAATCGTGAAAGAAATGTGGTTGCTCTTCGAGCGGCGAAAACACTCGACGGGCGCGCGCTGTTCCCGTATGATACTCATATCGTGAGACAGAACCGCCGATGTGGGCTGATCGGCGCTCCTCCGAGCTTTCACTGATGTACTGGGCTTTGCGAAGGAAAGCAGCTTAGCTGAACAGTCTGGCAGTGATCTGATTATCCATTTTCCCCGGCGACGCCGTCAAGGCAGGGCAACACGCTGGTGCATCCCTTTCTTACATTAGCGTCATCCAAACGGGTCCAACAGTTGACTGCGTTGTAAGCTGCCCGGTTGCGTGCTGCCATAATCAGTATCCCATATTAAGATTCAGCCAGTTGTTGGTTCAGATGCCTTGGTGGAAACTTATTTGTCAAAAGCATAAAACAAGTTTATTGTCGAAAGCATAAAATGAATTCGTTGGCAAAAGCGCCAGGTTTTGTTACGCTCTGCCCCGCTGCACGCTGGTAAGCTGTGGACCGCGTTGCTGCACAGAGGCCTCTCGCCTCGTGTGCTTTTGCTGCGAGCGGCAGAGCCGGACGTCTGGCTCGAGGTGTGCGCGGCTCCGATTCGTCCCATAAGCAGTCTCGACGGTAGTTTCGGGAAATTGAAATGGTGCCGGAGGGTCTCGATTTGGACCATCCACATTTATGACCCGTCGTATTTCAGTATGTTCGTCTATTAATGCCCTCGCGTTATTCTTGGATATTGATATTTCATTGTCACGCCCAACTGGTCCATAGGAATTGCGCAAAGGCGCACATTTCTTTGCGATCGCATCTCGGTGATAGGACATAAAGCACGGCGTTCAGTTGCAGGGCAATCAAAAAGGACGCTTTCGTCGAGATGAAGAACGACAACTTCGAGATGGAGGCGATGGTGGAGTGCACGGACTGCGGTCGGAAGCTGCATCAGATCTGCGTCCTCCACATGGACGCCATCTGGCCGCAAGGGTGAGCGCGCTATGCCGTCACGGTGTCTTGTTCGCAACGAGGGATCCGCCGCTTAGAGATGTAGCGTGCCAAGCCTGAGCCAGCTGTATGGATGCTGTGGTGACGTGCTCGGGGATGCAGAGAGGGAGAGAGGTCCTGTGAGCTAGACCATTTCATGCCTCTGATGCACGAAATCTATCTTTTGCAGGTTTACCTGTGATAATTGCCTTAAGGCGAAAGGAGCGAAAAGAAAGGATAATAAGTTCAACGCCAAGCGGCTACCAACCACCAAACTGGGAACGTACATCGAGAATCGGGTGAACAACTACCTGAAGAAGAAGGAGTCGGGCGCCGGCGAGGTGTTCATCCGGGTCGTCTCCAGCGGCGACCGTGTCTGCGAGGTCAAGGGCGGCATGAAAGCCAGGTCAGTGGACTCTTCTAGGAGACCGTGCTGAGATGTGGGACGGTGGTGTGGCGGGCAACGGTAGACGATGCCATGCGGGCAGCGTGATGGTATAGGAGCAGTTTGGAGTTGTTGCTTTAGCTGCACTTTAATAGTGATGAAACATCGGCGTAGACCGGCGTTCGCCATCGAAGCGCGTGTATCTTAACCTGGGCCGAACTCGGCGCCCTGCCGCCTGAGTGTGAGATCCGTGTCCACGAGCTGTGGCGTCACGCGCTGCCGTCCTCCCCCGGCCAGGTACTGCGACAACAGCGAGATGCCCTACAAGTTCCCGTACCGTGCCAAGGCGCTGTTCGCGTTCGAGGACGTGGACGGCCACGAGGTGTGCTTCTTCGGCATGCACGTGCAGGAGTACGGCTCGGACAGCCCGCAGCCCAACCGGCGGCGCGTGTACGTGGCCTACCTGGACTCGGTGCACTTCTTCCGGCCGCGCCAGTTTCGCACGTCCGTCTACCACGAGATCCTGCTGGCCTACCTGGACTACGCCAAGCAGCTCGGGTACGGATACGGGGCGCTGATTGGCGGGGCGGACGGTGACGTAGCGCGTTGCGTGGGCGTGCGCATGGGCTGGGGTGTGCTGCTGCGGTTCGGACCGGGAGCTCAATGGTTTCGCAGCCGTGTGTTGGTGGAGTCACGTTCACAGAAAGCCTTTCAAGTGAATGGTGGAGTAACCTTCTGTGGTGTCCGTGTCTCTTCCTGGGTAGTAGGATGGTGCAATTTTAAACCGGCGTCAAGTACGATACGTACTCTGCCCCGCAGGTATACGATGGCGCACATCTGGGCGTGTCCGCCGTGCGAGGGCGACGACTACATCTTCCACTGCCACCCGGCCGACCAGAAGATCCCCAAGCCGAAGCGGCTGCAGGAGTGGTACAAGAAGATGCTGGACAAGGGCATCATCGACCGCATCGTGATGGACTACAAGGACATCCTGAAGCAGGCGATGGAGGACGGCGTGCAGTCGCCGGCCGAGCTGCCGTACTTTGAGGGCGACTTCTGGCCGGGCATACTGGAGGAGAGCATCCGCGAGCTGGACCAGGAGGAGGAGGAGAAGCGACGCCAGCTGGAGGCGGAGGAGGCGCGCGCCGCCGCGGCCGCCGAGCCCGAGGTCGAGAGCCCCACCCCTGACGGCAAGAAGAAGGGCGCCATGAAGAAGCAGAACAAGAAGAACACCAAGTCCAAGTCGACCAGTAAGAACAAGTCGAAGAAGTCGAACCAGAGCGGCAGCGACCTGACAGCCAAGATCTTTGCGCTGATGGAGAAGCACAAGGAGGTGTTTTTCGTGGTGCGGCTGCACTCAGCGCAGTCGGCGGCCAGCCTGCAGCCGATCCAGGACCCGGACCCGCACATCCAGTGCGAGCTGATGGACGGGCGGGACAACTTCCTCAGTCTGGCGCGCGAGAAGCACCTGGAGTTCTCGTCGCTGCGCCGCGCCCTGGCCGCCACGCAGCACATGCTGTACGAGCTGCACAACCAGAACCAGGAGACGGTTGTCTACACGTGCAATAACTGCAAGAACAACATCGATACCCGCTACCACTGCACCGTTTGCGATGTGAGTAAGGCGGTTGTGGTGCGTTACCGTCGTCTGATGCGTTACTTTATTCGAGTATTTAGGATTGTGATTGTAGGACTTTGTTGTAGGACTTTGATTATGGTTGTAGGCATCGTTGTGATGACTGGTAGCGCTCTCAATAGCAGAAATTCCGTTCTTCGCAATGTTCGCGCCAATGCTTGCCTCGTTTAGTCCAGAAGACTGTCTACAGGTGTGTCCCATTTTCGCACTTTGTCGTGGGGATGCACTTGGACGACGGTTGTTATGTCCTCTCATGGTGCTTGTGAAGGAGTGCCAGAACGTGAGGTTAGTCAGGGTATTCAAGGTCACGCTCATTGCCCCTGTGGTTGCCTGGGGGCTGGGAGCGTGACAGTGTCGGTGGTTCTGAGGCGCTGACGGCGCGCTCCCGCCGTCGACAGGACTTCGACCTGTGCGTGTCGTGCTACGAGAAGGACCGGCACCCGCACCGGATGGAGAAGCTGGGCTTCGACCTGGACGGCGGCTCGCCGGAGCGCGGCCAGTCGACGCCGGAGATCCGGCGCCAGTCGCTGGAGCGCTGCATCAAGTCGCTGGTGCACTCGTGCCAGTGCCGCGACGCCAACTGCCGTCTGCAGAGCTGCCAGAAGATGAAGCGCGTCGTCTCGCACACCAAGTCCTGCCGCAAGAAGGTCAACGGCGGCTGCCCCATCTGCAAGCAGCTGGTGGCCGTCTGCTGCTACCACGCCAAGTGCTGCAAGGAGGACAAGTGCATGGTGCCGTTCTGCAACAGCATCAAGTCGCGGCTGGCGCACCAGCAGATGCAGGCGCAGCTGCAGAGCAAGGCGCTGCTGCAGCGACGGATCGCGCAGATGCGCTCGGCCAGCGGCGGCAGTATCGCTGCGTCAGTGCAGGCGGCCTCGTCGCAGCACCAGACGCCGACGCCGCCGCAGCCGCCGGCGCCGCTGCCGCCGCCGCCGCAGCCGGCCGTGCCTGCCGCGCCCGCCGCTGCTGCCGCCGCCGCCGCCAAGCCGGTCGCGCAGGGCCCGTCGCCCAACGTGCTGATGGCTGTCAAGCAGGTGAGACGGCCGGGGCGTGCGGCTTGACGAGTGCCGCGGCGCGGGGGCCAGGGAAACTGGGTGCTATGCTCATAAAAAGTCAATAAACCCGGCTTAGTTACGAGCTGAGCGACCTCGCAACGTCTGGCTAAGCCGTTGTGAAACACGCCGTAATGCATTATGCAATACGTCAGAACTTAAAAGAATATGCTCAACGAGTATCACATATTTGGCGGCGGTTTGGCGTGGGACTGTTGGTCGCAATAAAACTTGCGTGGTAAATGCCTGGCGCGCATGGCCTATTTGGCGGCTGTGTGGCGCTTGGCTGTCGGTGGTACTGATCAGAGGCTTGAAGCTTTGCCGAATGAGCCACCGCGCGGGCGTCCTTGGATTACCGTGTGTAGCCTACGTTCGCTTGATATGCCGTGTCTCGCTCTGCTGGTCCGATCGTTTTGTCATTGCTTAGCTTTTACTAATTTCTTCTTGGGTTTCTTAGCTGACATTAATTTTGCTATTGGCATGGCTTGCTTGTATTCAGTGTATTTGTCATGCCGATATTTACCCCAATGCCGCCTGCCTGTTTCGTTGTGACGGTCACAAAGGAGCCATCCTGCTTACCCTTACACCGATGGTCGTTCCAGTGCGTGTTGTCCTACCGTAGCAAACGCTCCTCCTTCCCCCCCCCCCTTTCTCCCCTCCCCCCCCCCCTCCCGTTTCGCTCACACCGACTTCTCCAGCGTGCATCGAGTTAAACGCACATTCGGTATGTAGCCGTGGTGCGGTGTGCCACCATCAAATCCTTGCGGTCCGCCGCTGAAACACTCGGGGAATGTTTCACAGAGTGAGATCTTGCCGGGTACACTCCCTGGCTTCATTTGATGGTTTGATTAAGACAGATGAATGTGGCCATTAATGGTTGTTCGTTGTCGCGATCAAAAGGCCTCCGTTTCGCGTATCCAAGATCACTTGGCTGCGATATTGTCGTTTGCTCGGGTTTTACACTGATCATTAACAAAGCCGCCGATTTAGCATTACGGGTTCTGCTGGGTGGATTCTTACCTCATTCTCAATATCATTAACGGCAAGGGTTTCCAGTGCCACCCTTCTGCCCCAATTTGAATGCCGCTTACGCCACAGAACTTGATTTGGAGCCCCCTTCCCCCCCCCCCTTTTTGATTTGGAGCCCGCTCCCCTCCTGTTACATGCTGGGCACAAGACGCCAGTGTCCACCGTTCCACTCCTTGCAGAAGCCCCGTTACCCGTCCCGCCGCGCCTCTGCCTGCGCCGGCCTCTCCCACGCACCGCTCCCGGCTGCCGCTGCGGTCGTGTGTGCGCCGCGCGCGGCCGGCGCCCGGCGCCCGGCCGCCGCGCTTCACGCCACGGTCGCTGAAGACAACAGCAGGCCCGGCTGTCGCAGGTGCAGGAGGCGGCGGCGCGCCAGCACGCGCCCCAGACGGCCGTCGGCTACGGCAAGACGACGCCGCCGGCGGCGACCGGCGCCGGCCTGCTGGCGCAGCCGCAGCAGCAGCAGGTGCTGCGCCAGCGGCTGCCGCTGCAGATGGCCGCGCAGCCGGCCGGCCGCATGCTGCCCGCCATGAACGACTGGAGCAGCAGGTGAGCCCGCCGCGCCGGCCGGCAGGCAGAGGAGCCGGTGTAGCGGCGTACGTCATGGCAAACGGATGGGCGGGGCTGATGTGTATGTGTTTATTGAGTACAGGCGCGACATTCCACTGCATTGACGGGTATGGGGCCGTTGTTTGTTTGCACGTGCGGCATAACGCCCGCATAACTGGTTTTTGTTATTCTGGACCACCAAAACAAACTGGTCGTAGCCAGTGGGATGCTGATCCAACTGGTAATCGTCATCACACAAACGAATGGCCCGTTACTTTTTAATCAAGGTGGCGTCAGCTGCTGGCGTAGCTTCTGCGAAGCTACTTCTGCGAAGCTACCGGTGATGACTGCGGTACGGGCTGGGTGTCGCTGTGATGGTCTAGCGCTGTAGCGTCCGGTCGCAGCTGATGAGGCGGCCCGCCCGGCTGCCATCTGAGGCGCGCCTGTGTGTCACCGGACGCCCGCGCTGACGCCGTGTGGTACCGTCTCGGCAGGTTCCCGGGGCCGGCGCAGGCGCAGGCGGGCATGCAGTCGCAGCCACCGGGCGGCGGCCTGACGCTCCGCCAACAGGTGCCGGTGGCGGGCGGCGGCGGCGCGGCGCTGCTGCGCGGGCCCGGCGCCATGGCGCCGGCCGGCCAGCAGGGCCAGCAGCGGCACGTGCCCGGCCTGCAGGAGCTGCTGCACAGTCTGAAGAACCCGACCGGGCCGCAGGCGCAGCAGGACGTGCTGCAGATACTGAAGTCGCACCCACAGCTGATGGCCGAGGTCATCAAGCTGCAGCATCACAAGGCCCAGCAGCAACAGCAACAGCAGCAACAACAGCAGCAGCAACAGCAGCAACAACAACAGCAGCAACAGCAGCAGCAACAGCCACAACAACAGCAGCCGCAGCAACAGCAGCAGCAAACGTCGGGTGTACCGCAGCAGCTGTTGCAGGCCGGCCTGCAACAGCAGCAGTCCCACCTGCCTGCTGTGAGCATTGTGAGCCAGGGCCAGCTGTCACAGCAGCAGCAACAGCAACAGCAGCAACAACAGTGGGCCGCCAAGCAGCAGTTCATAGCAATGCAGCGGCAACAGCAGCAGCAGCAGCAGCATGGCTTCCAGCAGCCGCAGGCGCCGCCGTACAGTCAGCGGCCGCGGCAGACGCACCCGATGAGCATGCAACAACAGCGCTTCCAGGCGGACAATACTCAGTTTGGCGGGCAGTTTTCGCAGCAGCAGCAGCAGCAGATGCTGCTGCAGCAGCAGATGAAGGCCAGCCCGCAGTCGGCGTCGCCGCACCAGGGCCTGATGGGCATGGCGGCGCCGTCGCCGCAGCAGATGCTGCAGCAGGTGTGCTCGCCGCCGCCGGGCGGTCTGCCGGCGGCCGTGCGCTCGCCGCAGCCTAGCTCCTCGCCGCGCCAGATGGGCGGCTACCACGCGCCGTCGCCGCACCGGCCGGCCTCGCACTCGCCGCACCCGGCCGCCGCCGGCCACGGCCTGGCCGGCCCGGACATCGGCAACGAGATGATGCTCTCGCAGCTGGCGGGCGTGTCGGCGGCCGGCCACGGCGCGCTTCAGCTGCAGGGCCACCCGGCCCAGCACGCGGCCGCCGGTGGCGACAACGCCGACAAGCTCTCCAAGTTCGCGGACACGTTGTAGCGCCGGCGCTCGTGATAACACGGTGTGATATTTGTAGCTGTTGGGACGCGGCCGCGCAGTGTTGTTTCCTGTTGAGCGGAGCGGCGGCTGCTCGCCGCCCAGGACCTGTTTGCATGCATCATTGGCCCAGTGGCCGGGCCGGGCGCCCGGCCGCCGGCAGCGCGCATTTCCCTGTACATAGTGCATTGGCGATATTTTATTCAACATTAAGAATCATGTTCATGTTTATTTACTGTACAAATCGTATCGTGTTTTCTTTTTTTACTATTTATGGTAGATCGTGGCATGAGCTATTGGTTGGGTCGCCGTCCAGCAAAGCGTTTCGGGCATCTTAGTATGTGACATTCCACCAAAGTTTGTTTTCGCCGAGCTGGCGGCGCAGGGCCCGACGCTCAACAGCGGTGCGCGGGCAGTTGTTACGTTGAAGGGCGGCCAACTTCACGTGTACATCTTGTAAAAAGTTTTCGTCCTTTTTTACCGGGGTAATCAGTACAAAGGTGATCATTACCCCATTGCTAGCATCTTGTAACATGATCATGTAATAAAAGCTAGGAACGCTGGAGTGGGCATCTGTTGGTCCCGAGAGCAGCGGCTCGTGAAGACACCGCCAACCGGACACCCATGGCCACATGCGGGGCGCCCACCGCTTGTTTGGCTCGTTTGCGCGCACAAAAACACAACTGACCCTTCGAATTGGGGTTTACGCACATTGCGCGCGCCGGCGGTGTTTTTGCACGCCGGCGCGGGTCGCGTTGCGTCAGGGCCGCCGCCCGGAATGCCAGGGGTCGGCGCGCCAGCCATGTGCGATGTGCGTGCGCGGTGGGAGGGCCGGCCGCGCTCGTGACCCTGCGTCACGCACGGGGCGTCGCGGCGAGGCAGTCCGAGCTACAGCCTGGATCGCGCTGTGACAGGCGGGAGGTCCGGTGCGGTGTCCGGAGTTTGTGTCTGGGCGATGCGGCTGCTGGGCCAGTCAGGAGGTGTCGCCGCATGCACCCGCGAAGTGGAGCAGTTGATTGGTGTTGGACAGGAGCAGTGGGTCGTGTCCAAGGTATCGTCTTTCGTTTATTGCGGAGCAGCGAACCGACTTGAAAGGTGGGCGTACAATTAGATTAGGTAGGCATCCGGTTGGCGTCCGAACAAAGGTGTGTACACCTCGTGCGGTGAGTGGTGGCGATTGCTGACGTACGGAATAGCCTTGCAATAAAATTGGAAGAAATCGGAAAAAATGACGAGAAATCTCGCGGCGCTTCGGGCCTTAGGGAATGGGACCTAGGCCAGGAGTGATGGGCCATGACCGCGAAACCAACATCGCAGGGCTTTGCGTGACAATGACCTAAATGATTAATTAACCCTTTGATGATTGAGGGGGGAGGTGAATCAGTGGTCGCAATATCGTATTACGCGAAGTTTTTCAGATAGGCGAGAGGGATAAAACGCTTGGAATTACAGTTAATGGCTGTCTTGTTCGCACACCGTGTTCAGTGTGGTGGACACATACCGCAGGCTCTTAGTGGGCGTTGAGTCAGGTTTTGACAAGTGCCCTTTCACCACACGCGTTGAACGAAGTTTTTTTCAGTTGTACGCGAACCACAGCGCTACCGCGGCAGACGATGGCGTACTTAGATAATCAATTTTTAAGCGTACATGCATGCATGCAATCAATTTTTAAGCATAGAAGCATAAGCTCATTTAGATAATCAAGTCGGTCTAAGAGCGCATGCCACGACCCCCAATGATGCACGGCCAAAGCACGATGGAGCACGTAAAAAGTTGAGCTTGGCCTTCATGACCCAGAGCACGAAATAGGTTGCCAGCCAGGTACTCGCGGGACTGTCGGGGACGCGCCTCACGGCGCATGACCTTGACCTCACACATTAACGGGGATGAGCATTCCACGATGACGGGCAGCCCGGCAGATCGCAGGCCCCTGTCCTACCACGACCTCGGCACTTAACGCGGAGGAATCCAGGTCACGCGGCACAGGGAACGATCCTGACAAATTTCCAGCCACGGCTCCGACCAGATGCGCCGGTGGCTTAATGTAACTTGGACCTAAGGTGGGAGCATACCTGGCGAAAAAAATACTTTTGAATTTTCTGAACCTGCGACCACATGTAGAGTAAAAGTCACTGCCCTCCTAGTTTCGGGAAGAACTCCTGAATTGCACCAGGTAGATCGGATAAGTTTCCAGTGTCTGAAAAGCTATCAGTTAGTCTTATTCTAGCGGTAAAAGGTTCTATGCAGAGTCTGAGCGCTGACTTATGACGTCGTATGACGCTGGGTCATCAACGAAGGTTTGCATGATGCTCTCTGCCTCCTGACTCAGTATGCACCTAATTTGCAGTTTCTTTCCTTATCTTAAATCGCTTTGAAGTGTGTTGTAATTTATCCAACCGGATCGTCGTGTTAAGCGACGCCAATGCAGATCACTATCAGCGGTCATGTGAGGTCAAATTACAAGTGTCGAACCAAAATGACTTATGACGCCCATATGCGATTATGAACAACGTCACAGGGCGAGTGACTGTTACTTGAACTGTAAACAAATTTGACTTCGTCGTGCGGCTCGCCCTGGACGTCATTCTCGCTAGAAATGTATCTACTTATAGCCACTTATTGCAACCTCATGCGCTTTTCAAAAATAAGAAGCTCGAGCCTTTAATTTCTGGGCCGTATACACTATTAAGTATTTGCAAGCAAATTGTCTGACCAAGCAGAGCTTTCCCTGCAGCGGACAGACACTCATTGGACTAACATGGACCGCGTTTCGGCGATCCGGCGTACAACCCCACGGAATAACATATTCTGACAGAGAGGAAACTGGCCATGGGCCCATTGCACGGGGGAAAATGCGAACCCATGTGTGCACGCGGCCACGTGCTTCCATGCCCAAATCATGGATCCGGCCGTTTCAGGGCGTTTTAGAGGATTGATGTCAGGCCTCAGCAAGCAAAGGACATGAAGACGTGAAACCTGCTGCACAGTGTAGGCGAATGCACCGGCTACAACCCGCTGATTGGTCTCGAGACTATCCTGTCCACAGATTCACCAGTGACCGACCTGGCAGCCGCCAGTGTGGCCTTTGCCGGAGCTCATCTCGAATTCAAAGACCCATGGCCTTAACCGGGGAAGATGGAATCACGATAACTTCACCGGCCTGTAGCCATGCCTGTTTGGACTAATTCCACCTGCAATATCCGCGTGCTGTGCAAAACCTTTGCGACGATTACAGAAAACATGAAGCATTGTGATTCAATCTGCTGAAATGAAAGCGTCTTCTCTGTAATTGCATGTAATCTATGACTTATATCTGGTTTTTCAGATCATGGGGTTCAGTTTATCGAGATTTGGGATTTAACTACTAGCTTCACCAGATTAGCTTTTAGCATCATCCAACTACATAAGAAGTGACGACCTTCACATCTATCATTGCTCCGCTCGTCTAGCGCCGCGTAAGACATTTCACGTTAAACTCACCTATGGTAAACCGACGGATTTCGGGACCATTGAACTTTGTATGTCATGCGAACAGGAGGGACAGATAAGATACTCCGATGGGGCTGGCTGACCGTCACCTGATGTGATCATAACCTGCGGGTCACCCGTCTTAACTTTAGGGCTTGAGTGTGAAGCGCAAAAACACGTTCTTTCGTTTGATGCCGGTTACAAGTTCAACAGCCAATATCACGGTTGCCAGAGGGCCCGGCGTTGTTCGAGCAGTTCTCAATTGCTGTTATTTTTGCGTGATCTGTGACATCATCAATCACGTAAAAATGTCAATTCAAATGATCCTGCAGATAAGACTGACAAGGGAGATGGACTGTCGTGTGGGCTTTTCCGGTTCGACCGCTAAATCTTAAGATGCCAGGGGCTACTTTTTGCACCAACCCGCGTCCTAGCGGATGACGGTGGCGAAATACCCCCGCGGCGTCGGGTTGACGCGTGAAAAAGAAGCGGAAGAAGCTACAGATACGTGTCAGTTTGACTATTTGAATCCCTGGTAATCAATGAAATGTGTCGCTGCCGGTGCGATGTCAATCGTACTTCTATAACATTACTGCGTCATGATGGTTGGAGCTTCCATGCCGGTTTTGTTTTACAACATGCCAGACAATCAGTTACTGACTGAATTACATTACATTCCACGCTAAAAGTCGTTCGTCCTATGTCACACTTTCTAGGCACGATTTTTGTTATTGCCCAGCGGCTGACCAGCATGCTTTGGCACGCTTTGTATCTCACGGCTTTGCAGCGTTTATTACAGATGAAAGCATAAAGTTCGTTCGTCAAAATATATGAAAGTACTTATGTCAAAAGTCGTAAATAAAAGCAAAGCACATGTAGATTGAAAGGTCAAGAGATCTTTGGTCAAAAGTATGAACGTCAGTCCAAAGATGCAGCATACGTACGCAGATTATTCACAAATTATCGTTTAGTAATCTAGTGCCATCATCTGGCCCCAGCGCCCGCTGTACAAAGACGACATGACTTTTCGGGTATCACCTGTCCCAGCATATATGTCCCACCAACAGTCAAAAATTGAAATTTAGGTGAGTTTAGGTGGTCTGGCACGTCCATGATGTCGCTGGCACGCAGCTCTTTTTTAAGCACATCTTTCACCTATGGCGCAGGGAGAGGGCACAGGGCCTCGTCGCGTACCGACTGCTGTCAAAATTTGGTTTCGGGCTCTTAGCTTGTCCCCCTCCCAAAAATGATCCGACGACCTTGGGCAGTGGCACTTGTAATGACTTTTAAGAACTAAAAAGACCGATTATTCCGTTTTGCATAATACTTTGCGTTCAAGGACCGCGATTCGAGAGCTGGATAATTCGACGGCACACGTGACGCAGATTATAAGCACATCTTCGGATTGGAACATGCTCACACCTTTACAGACCTGTTCCTGAAGGCCGCGGCGGGAGAGTCGCGAGTGTGCCATGTGCGTCGAGCTCAGTCCCGTGACGTCACCGGCTGGAGGCTGGCAGCTGACCTTACCGAGC